CATTGCAGTTTAAGGAGTTTCGGCGCTGCTCTCCAGTCAATTAATGTTTTATTCATAAAGTCGTTTAAAGTAACGGGAAAATAATTCTGCAATAGTATTAGCGGGATGAAATTCGTAATTGTTATAATACATAATTGTTTCTTATTTTATAACTTATTAGATGTTTTAAAAGTGACTCTCTAGTCTCTCAACTGGTATTTTGTTAAAAAAATCGTTTAAAGTAGAAAACAATTTTTGTAGGAATAAATAATTTTGTATAATTTTGTAGATTTTTATTTATTAATTAGAGAACATTAATATATTATCGCGAGCGACAATCTTTTTTAATTAAAAATTAATAATTAAAAATCTATAAAGTTATTAGGAAAATGGAAGAGGACTTTTTTATTCAGGTTGATATACAAGCACATGATGGTAGACGTCGCCAACTCATCTACTAAATCTCGTATGATCATTCACAAATCTTCTTTAGGCCTCGTTAAAGCTTCTTGCCTGCACTCTATGATCCCAAAAAAGATCGTGACAACTGAAACTGGCGAACAGACGTCGTTGACCGCAAGAAAAAGCAGCTTTCTCCGGAGTGTCAACGACTGGTGCCAATAATCACGAGGTGCCAATAATCGTGTTACCTTAAAAGACCGAGCAATACGACGAAGCCTAATCGAGTTGCGTTTCTTCCCATTACGGCACCGACGACGAAGAAATACGCTCATTATAATCTACATGCCGAGCCACTCCTCCCGCACGATCCGCCGTCACTAAATTGCACGACGAACGGAGAGCGTTCCACTGCCATCCTCCGTCTCCGCGAAATTTCATAACGTCGAAATCTGCATAATTCGCCGCAATAATTAAGCCGCCCGCGTAGAGCGCAACCACGTGCCTTTCGTATCTCTTCTGGGTCGAATAGTTCAGGGTCGAAGGTCGGCATTTCGGTGAAAGCGTTAACCCCGACACTCGCCGCTTTCGCCCTCTCGCTTCGCGCCCCGTCCCTTCGGCCTCACGGCTCTGCCGTGAAATCTCGTAACATCGGCGTCGAGATTTGCATAATTCGTCGCGATAATTAAGCAATCTGCATATTACGGCTCGCGCGCGCTGTCAGTACCTCTTTCGTGGGCAAATAGTCACGGGCCCGAAGTCGGCCCCTAACCTCCGTCTTCCGCCCGTATTCGGCTATTAAATTAGGGCGTTGTAACGAGTAATATTCACGTAACCAGGCCGCGCGCGCGCTTCCACCCCCGCGATCTCGTCCCAGCGCGACGGTCGTGCACGTACGCGCGTTTAACGCGCGACGTGAACCGCGAATCCCCCGTCGGATACCGAAAGTGCCAGCCAAGCCAGCCAGTCCTAGCTAGCCTCCCCTTCTAATCGTCTCGCGTGACGTGCGAGGACGTGAAACATGATGGATCCTGTTACTTCTGCGCTGGCTCTGACAATATAAAAAGTCGCGCCACGCAGCCCCGTGCTTCATATTTGTGTCAGGCTCAAGAACGTCCACGGAATAAGATAAACGGGTCACGGTCCTTTCTCGGATACATCACTCAGAATAATGGTCTCACAGTCACGGCAAAAATGATCTAGGTACGAGAAATTAGCTAAGATGGAATAAATGATGGATAGCAAACGCCGCGATATCGCACGTGTATGTCCGCATAGAAATTTCTTAGCATTTCCCCAAATAAAGGTTAGATTCTAATCAGAATGCCCCCGATTTTGTTCCGAAACAGATTATTCCACTACGATCCCATTTTTGTTCCAAACATGGGTTTTCTGTCTAGAATATTAAGAACGGAAGGAGTTTTTTTAGTGTTTTCTGCATCAATTTCATTAATGCAATGATAATACAAATGTTTTTTCCGGCTTACATTGTTTAATGTTAAAACATCAAACAATAATAATAAACAACAATAATATTTTCGTTTCATATATAATATAGAATATACTTGTATATTTAAGAATTTTAATTTAAAATGCAAACTAGCAAATGAAAAAGTCTTTGGGAAAACGTTGGGAACCAAATGGGATCTATATTTGAGTTTACCCACTTAGATTCGCGTGTTAAAATATTACACTTTTAACCAGAATCTGTATACATTTCCTACCTAGAACCTATAATTATTGTGGAAAATCGGGCTGGATCCCAATTAGGTCTGAAAGTATTTTCTATGCTTTATATTTAATCAATACAGATGATAAAGACAAAATTTATATCCGGACTATTTGTGAAATTCAGCGAGGAAGTTTCTCTGTGGTGTCCGTCCAGATTAAAGCTAGTCTTATATAATCTTATATAGTCTTATCAAATTTGCACAGCACTTCTTACAAAATTTGACTGAGTAGGCGAAAAAGCGACAAGAGACGAAATGAATGTGCAATTCTCACATCCACCTAAATTTACTCGTATATATTGCAGATAATTCTACGTATCGCAAGCGTGATTTTCTAGCAGATGTAAAAAATAGCGATAAATTTCAACTGTGACATTTCAAATTCCATCTGGACCAGCAAAACATTTTTTTCGTGTGATGGATCACCCAGAAGCTTTTATGACTAATTACTTTGCTTTTTTATATTTCATTGGTGTGTAATATTTTTATTCGAAATTGAATGATATGATTCGCTGCGCAATTCGCGAATATGTGTGTTCCTTTTTTTAATCTCACTCTCTTTTAACACATTATATAAACAGGCCATCTGCACTGAGAGAAAAATATCTAAGGAATAAAAAACATTTATCCGGTGAGTACTGATAACATATACTAATACACGGATTTTTGCGCCGAGAGAAAATACTTGTCAAATAAGAAAATGTATATTTTCTTAAAATCGTAGCTTTTTATGGAGGCGACCGTTTATTCCATTTAAATAAAAGAATTTAGATTTAAGTAGATATGCTGTTAGTTTCCTCATCCCGAACATATGTTCTTATATTTTTTAGATGTATTCCTTTTCTCAATACACACAATTAAATCTAAATCCTCTTAAAAAAAAAACTATGAATATGAGCTTTCTCTTAAATTTCTTCGCACGCGTATATCCGCTCGATGTCTCTCTCGCGATACTACATTTCATTGACACTTATTAGTTTTCTCTTTAGCCTTAATATCCTATGAAGATGCTTTAGAAGATATCTCTTCTCCGTTTTCTTTCACTGAACGTTTTATAGGAAATTCAGTCCAATCAATCTAATGAAAGATCCAATCGATCTAATGAAAGATCAGATATCGATCCCTTTGACATTTCTTACATAATATTCTCGGAGAAATAAATTGATAAATAAATAAAATTGTGTAAAATCCTGTTTAATAAAATTGTGTAAAATCCTGTTGAATTTTCTGCTATTCAACTTTGCGAAATTGTCTTTAATTGCGGCGCGGACAAGCGCAATTCATCATATTATTTTCCTGGAGGGCGAATATCTGTTTTCCTGTTTACGGAGTAAGTTGACAAACAAATTGCAGAGCATATCGCGTCTAACGCGCGGTTGAAATTCACGAAAGCGTGAGACGGCGGGCAGCGATGCGGAAACGGTAATTAATCGTAATCCCCATCGTGATCTCGATTGTGCATTGTGGGAATCTAATAATTGTCTGAGACGCGAAGTCCTCTTAGGCGCGTCAATGCATGTCAGCGAGCGGCGGCGGCGGCGGTCGATAGGCAATAACGCCGACAGGGACGATCGGAGGTCCGGCAAGCGGCTTTGCAAAGTTTCGCCAATCAGCAGGTGGAATCCCGGACGGAACTCACTGACAATTCAATTACAACTGGGAATTCCTGGTCCGACCCTAAGCTGAGAAAGTTCGGCGGTTTGACGGAGACCGGGGGACGCTCACTTCTCCCTCCCCCCGCCCTCCCAGGTCTGCGGAGAAGGAGGCAAGCCGCGCGCTTCTCCAAGTGTTATGCAGATTTCTGTTTGGCCAGTCATTACTGGGGTGTTTGCAGGCACGACAGCCATTGCTACGGCTACCACGGACCCGATCTCCAGCCGCCGCCGCCGCCACCAGCCAGCCAGCCACCCCCTTTAACGGAAGACGGCCATCTACTGCCCGACCGAGTAGCGCGCATCCCTATCTTCGATATTCATATCAGCCCTGCCAGGTGTAACGCTTCTATGAATATTTACCCTCCTTTCCGTTAATATCGCGTACGTGACATTTTCCGAGCGTAAATATGCGACGTCCGTGAACACGATGACTAGCGGTCATCGGCTGAGGAGCTGGATTGGAAGATAAAAAGTAATGGGCTTCGATCGGAGAAGAGGTCGAGAGCTCGGTCGGCATGAGACACGAAATCACACAGCTAGAGGGTTCCAACGATTTCTTGAAATATCGTCGATCAGAAATATCGACAATTTCGAAAAATATATGTCGATATTTGCAGCAAAATATTTAATGAGGTAAAATTCTCTGATTCGTACCAATTTCTATTGGTTTGTTGCTTGCGCTTTTTGTACTCGATTTCCCCGCTTTTACTTCTTCCAGCGCCTGAATATGCGCCCGTCTCGTTGCAAGTGCGAAAAGTGCGAGGTATGCAAGCAACACACTTTAGGATTCGGAGTAATTAGAGTTTCAATCAATTCAATACTAGTCACTTCTGCTTACGATCAGATTTACCGTCAGTTCTATCTTCCTTTAGAGTACATGAATCTAAAGTAATATCCTGATTGGTTCTTCAGTTTAAACTTACGTCTTATAGTTATGTCAATTCATGTGCGGAAGTTCTAATGCCCGATTTCACCAGCGCCGATGGAACCTTAAGCTTAATTTGAGTTTAAGTCTTTGTCTGAGAAGAAATTCTGATGAAGACTTTATCGACGATCGGGTGAAAGGCGGGATAAATTGCAAATTATAAAATATCCTTGAAATTGATATCAATATAGTGATATATCGAAGAAAAGAAATGTTATCAATAAATTATCGATACTGATCTACGATATATAAATGTTTCCATATTATCGAATTATCGTTGCATTCCGACATTGTTACACGGCGGATACTCACCGGCATAGTTTGGCTGCCGTGTAGAGAATTTATCGCCGCCAGAGCTTCTTGATGTGATGAAAGCTTCACGAATGCACAGCCTGGAACAGAGAAAGAGGTTTTCGTTAATGCCATGAAAAATTTCGTTAACTTCATTTAGACCGAAATCGCCGTACATTCTGCGTTTCGAAAACGCAATTTTTCCTACTTCAATGTAAGTTTAATGGAAGTGTGTTTAACAAAAATTTCTTACACTGAGAGAAAAATGTCGAAGAAATAAAAGAAATATTTATTTTGTAAATACTTTGATAACGTATTTATGTACATTAATATCATGGCAATCATACTTAAACAAGTGATATCTTTATGCTAAAAGAGAAGTGGTAACAGTTAACAAATGTATTTGATTAAACGTTTCAATGCGATATTTGAATATCAAATATGATAATAGTTATCAAATGTATGATAAAGTAGTAAAACAAAATCTTCAATTAGTTGACCTAATAAAATGATTTGGCAATAATACCAAATAATTTGGTAATAATTACCAAATAGTTTGATAATTACCAAACTTTCTGGTAAAAGATCTGTTCTAAGGTATTGCGTCAGCCGTAGCGGAAAGTATTACTAAAAAATATGGTTTTTATTTAACAAATTGTTTAGTGATACGTACCACATAAAATGGCAATAGTTATTAAGCCTTAGTAACACATATCAAGCCTTGCTAAGGCTATTTGCTAATATTTAATCAATTATTTGGTTATATTCACTTGTTAAATTGAAACTATTTCAAAGCATTTAGTGGCTATTATCTAGACTATAGTGTTTCCTCCGTGTATATGTAAATATGCTGTTAATATCCACGGAATAAATACGTATTATTTCTTAGACATTTCTTCTCAGTGTGCAACATAAACATCAACAAAAAGGAACGGCAAACGTGCGCAACGCGGCCGTCTAAACAAACGCGGTTGCTCACGAAAATGTGAGCTATCGCGCGACGAAGGGTTAAACGGAGCAGGCGACGACGTTCGCCATTCACTCGGCGGAAGGAGCGTCGCGAGCGCGCGGCACAGCCGCCCCAGTTCCTTCCTGCGCCACGCAAAATTCAGCGACGCACTCGGCACCCGGAAGGAAGCAGCAGAAACAGTTTGATCCGTTTTGTCTTGGCGTGGGATCCGCAGCAAGGGCGGCGCGGGAGGAGGTCCCCGTTTCCGCCATTGTCGCGGAGCGAGGCCGTCCGCGACGATGATGGAACGATTAATCGCTCCTACCGCCTGCCACGTGCGCTCATCGCTGTAGTTAGATGGAGAGACGCGAAGACAAAGAGCTCGGGGGCTCTTTGAAAAATTGACGCGCCAGCGGAGCGCAACGTGCACTTTAATAAAAGATGTTTACCGCGCGCGGACAAGCGCTTCGTAATCCGAGACGACGACAACGACGACGATGACGACGACGACTATGGCCGCGGTTTCGAGCAATAACTATTTGTATCGTCGCGAGGGAACGATACCCCAACAATCGCTGCCATCTACGAGGGCGCGACGTATAAGCGGGATAATCCAGCGGATCGGCGCATCCGATCTATTGAAACGGATTTGTTGGAAAATAAACTCGTCGCGACATTACAGCACCGGGAAAGAAACTCATGGGAGTTCCTCGCCGTGCGGGAAATCGAAGTCGTCACGAGGCGGTGGCCAAGCGGCATTCCTTTTCTTTTTTCTTTTTTTTTTTTTTATACTGACGATATCGTTCCAGCCTCTCCTTCAGCGGGGGAGAACGCTCGTTCGTATGGGCAGTAAATTTGATCTGGTCAACGCCTCGAGTTTTTTGCCTCGTGAAATATCAATCGACACAGAGGGACAGAGGAAGAGAGGGAGAGAGAGAGAGCGACTGTAATCAAATCGAATTTAATCGCGTTAAAGTCGTAGCACGGAACAGAGTCGGCAACACGCTCGAGTCCAACTGCAACTGAAAATTGCCGAGTATGGCGGCGCTTTTAAAATTGGGATTAAACTTTTCGAGGATCGAATATCGCCCGATATATACTCGGCAATTCCTGTCGAGCGGCCGCCTCTTGAAAAATAAACGAAACTCGATTGTGATATGCTTCTGGGAGATGGGACGGATCAGGATTGAAGGGAATTAGGGCGAAAAGAGGGCGCCCACCCTCCGTACCTGGAGTACGACAACGATAACGTACCTACCCTAAACCCTGGACCTCCCTCTGATCTCGGCGGCCCTCGTCTTCGACGTCCACTTTCGAACTCCCGTCCCTCGCCCGGATCCGGCGCAAGGAGATATCCGAACGACCAGACAATTTAGCGACCTCAGATCAATATACAGGGTGTCTGATACAAGATACACGAAAGCACACGTGTGAAGATAGAGCATGTCAAGCTGAGCACAATGACTCTGGCGTTTTGCAAACTACCACGTATATTTAATTTCGAGATATTAAAGAGAGAAGATTGACGAATCAGAGCGCTCGACGTTATGGGATGACTCTGTTAACGTGAGATCTCATTGAAAATGGCTGAATCGCGAGTGTTTCTTAGCGCGACACGCGCATGACACGTTTGCAATATGTCGAAAGACAATTGTCTTCGTCTTCATTCTTACTCAGTCTTCAGCTATTAACAGATGTCCATCTATGCAGTCGTATCAGTCACTTTCAATGTGATCTTGGCTGCGCTCTGAAATTCACTGCCAGTGCTAAAACTCTATAGTATACGTAACATGAACTATAGATTTTCAGTACTGGCAGTGAATTTTAGAGCGCAGACCTTGTGGTGTCTCAGAACAACCTTCGAAGCTCTCGTGGAAAATTTAATCCGTATTATGCTTCCATGAGAGCTTCGAAGGTTGTTCTGACACCCTATAGAGCCACAACAGTTCTGGCTCGTCAACTTTTTTTTCATATTTCGAAATTTTATATGGTTTGCAAAATTTCAGGGATCCTCGCGCTCAGGTTAGCGTGTTCTATCTTTACACGTGATTCTGTACATCTTGCGTCAAACATCCAGTGCACATCGGCTTTCAAATTTACGGCATATTACGCAAAAATATCGTCACGCGATTCCATCGTGCGCGACGATAATTTTTATCGTTTTGTCGGCCGTCCTAACCGCTTTTTCGGCGATTGACGCGTCGAGATAGCGGCGGCATAATTTTGTTGTTACGTCGCTAATGAGGCTCGGCTTAAAAACGATTACCGTGTAAAACGATCCGTCCAGATCAATGTTCGCGGACAGGGACACATATTGCGCGAGATACACGTCGGATGGCGAGAAGGGACGGAAAGATAATCACGTACAACTGTTCTAAAACGTTAAGTAATTGGAGCACGGAAAAAGAAATGACAAAGCAGTTCTTCCCGCTTTGTTCCCGGCAGCTCATTAAGTGGCGTTGCTTGACGGCATTATACTCCTTGCCTCTCTAGTCCTTCCTGTCTGAAACACCTGGCGTCCATTGTACCGATGATAATGTCGCCATGTCAACCTCATACCGCTACATTAATCACGCCTTTGAATCTCGAAAACTCGAATATTTAACCAGGATTGGGACCGTCGCTAATGCGTATCGCTCCAACACACACACACATACCACACAGCCGTGAATCAGACAATTGTTTACAAATGTATGTGATAAATTAACTCGATCTACGTCAGGTCTAGCAACAAATTTATTGCGATTTCGGCCAACTCTAGACGGAGAGATTTTTCATGGGAAAAGTTATTACAAGATTTTCTAAACAAGGAATATACATTCTGCAGTAATTCTCTATCCTTTCATTTCACATGCATTACTTATATTTTAGAAAGTAAGATATGCTATTAAAACGCTTGCTATGTTTCTAGCGAAATTTACTATATTCCTTGGCAAGATAGATCTTAGTTCCTTTAGTCAGAGTTAAAACAAAAGCATGATGGTTCCTGATTGGTTTACGTTCTGTTCGTATCACTTTTAGAGGTAACGGAAGTGAGAGAAAAGCTCTAAGACTGAAATGACGAAGCATGCTGCAGCTTTTCTTTTCTTATTAACCGCGGTTAATAAGAAAACATGTCCGTACGGACAATGTTTGCGATCCATTTTGGATCTCGCGAAGAAATCACATTGGCAGAATGACCGAAATTTCTGTAGGACCGATATCGAGCGGACATACGGGCGAGACTTTTTTTTTCGTCTTTTTCTCTCTGTTTCTCTCTTCTCAGATCCTATAGATCCTGCAGAGTCGTATACGGCGAACGTAAGAATTCGTCCAAGCTTCCAAAGCGTTTCTCTCCGCCTCCGTCCCCTCCTGCGGATCTCTCGAAGACGATGCGCACTTGAGATTTTTCTTCGGCGCTTTTCGCATCAACGGGACGCAAACTCGCGCGGAAATAAAGGACTCGAATTTCACGAAAGTTCGCGCAATACACCTAGCCTGGCCTTGTACGCGTATATATACGCGTACATATACGTATATGAATAGGATTATATGTGTATATATATATATATATATATATATATATATATATATATATATATATATATA